CAAGTTTCTTCTGTTGTTGCTTTAAGTATATAGTTGTCCAGTATCCTCTCTGTACCTGTTGCACACATATCACAGCATCCCGCTCATCATCTTCCTTCAAAAAGCTTTCTAAGATTTCTACCATGCTTTTCTCTCTATGCAGGCCTAGATGTTCCATTTCTTAGGTTTCTAGAATTTGTGTAGAATTGTATGGGGACCCATTTTTTTAATTTTCTTGACCTGATTTAAATAGCACTTCACTCTGACTTGACCACTGCCACCCCCTGCCCTTCTCTTAACTTTGTGGCACCATTTCCACCCAGACTGGACATGCTACCACAAAGCTCATGCTTGTCCACCTTTTTAACATTCTCTTCAGTTCAAGCCCATTCATTCAACAATAAATGACCTTACCCAAGTTTCTTACTTCAGATGACAATAAACGCTAAGAAGAGCACCAGATCCCACTCCCCAGCCAGCTACAACACTGCAGAAGGCTTTGAACACTTTTTGCCAGAACTACAGCTGCATCCCTTCTCTTCGACTGGAAACCAACATGGGCTCAACTCTTACCTCAGGACAGGAGAGCAGACAAGTGGTACAGAGCTAAGTCTAACAGCCCGCCTTGTGCCCTGCAAGCATTTTAGACTCCGTTTCCTCAGACTCCAGTACCTTTATGAAACGTTCCTGGAAGCAGAGTCTAAACTCTCCTCACACAACTTGTGAGTCTCGGCACAGACAGCACCAAGTGTCACATACTAAACGTTCACAGTCTATTCATCGCTAGCTCAGAACATGCAGGGCCCTGGCAGGCAGAGAAATGATCATGACTGCACCCATCCCTTCAACAGGATCAAAGCCAAGAGAACAATCAAGACAAAGCACAGGTTTTGTATCTCCAATTTCTGAAAACTCAGCAGGAGGAAAGGAAATAATCAGTGATACTGTCTTAAGCCAAATCAACTCACCAAAGGAAGAACATTAGGGTTGCACAGAGACATCATATGAAACCAAAAAAAGTCCCACATGTGTAACAATCAACTGCACTTTTTTTTTCCCTCTAGATTGTAAGAAGGAATCAAAGGCGACAACCACCTTGCCACTGTCATGTCACACAGGTGAAAAAAAGGCCAGAAAACAAAAGCCCATGCACGCCTAGCTCATGAGCAACGCAGCAAAAACTGGGCATAAAAGCTTTTCTTTCAAGCAAGTGGCCTGTACATACATCTGCAGTCCTCTGCTCCCTTTCCTTTGAACAACTACCAGCTCGAGAATTTGAGTTTGATACAGAAAGTACTTAATTCTTCATTCTAAAGAGTGAACCTTGAATCCTCGGGTAAAGCTGTTACAATTGTTCCAATGTTTTTTGATATGGGAAAGCAAATCCAGTTTTGACTCTAAGGAAACTTCACTTCCTAAGGCTGTGGTCCTCTGTGTGCAAATATAGTTACACCTACCGTCACAGACAGCACTGCAAGCTTCAGCATGACTTTGCTGAAAGCAGTAACACGGGAGTGTTACTAGCACAGTTTCTCAATTTGCATCAGAGGGAAAACCCACCGAAGGCCAATCTGTTCAAACACAACCCCAGAGTAATCGCTCTTCTCATTTCAATGAGTAAGCAGGCTTTTCTCTTCTTCTCCATTCTTATAGCACACTGTTTTGAATGAGGAGGGCACTGTCATTTTTTACTTAAAAAAAAAACCCACAACAGAAGTCAGGAACACTGGTCATTTTCAGACTTTTATTAAGAGGAAAAAATATATTTTCTATAGCAGCAGTGAAGAACTAACAGTGGAAAAACCACAGACGTGATGCACAGTTTATCATTAGAGACTCTTGATAAATAGATTCTTTGTTTGTATTTGTTCTTTGAAGTAACTTGCAGAAATAATTTATTTTGCAGCTTTCCCGAATACCAGTCACACCACAAATACCATCTAGAAAAGAGATGAAAGACAGCTTCAAGAAACATGGATTTCCACTGGATATCGAGAGACAGTTTGACAATCAACAAAAAACCTAGCAACAAACCCCAAGCAACCAACCGCCACGCTGCCCTACCATTAGAAATCTAAGTTGAAGTTCAGATCTATTAAAAGACAACAGAGGCGGAGCCACACTCTGCTGCTGAAGAGCCACTCACAAAGGCTGTATACTGCCAGAAGGCTTCACCACCCTCACAAAGGCAGCAGTACTAACTCCAGTGTCAAGAAGGATTACTTTGCCTTCCCTCTCATAAGGAAGATACCTTTGCCATCGTGAACAGTATTCTGGGCCTTCCAGGGGCACCAGCTGAGATGCTAGGGCACTTCAGAGGCAGAGATCACACATGTTCCTGAACGCTATACTTACCATGTTCACAGTCCTGCTCATCTCACTCATATCTTGAAGCCCAGAGATCTCATACACTCCTTGTGAGCTTCAATCAGCTGCCTGCAATTTTCTTCCCCCTTCTCAATGATGCTGCAAAACAGAAAAGATTTCCAAGGTTCAACAACAAAATGTTTGCTTACTGTCAGTCAAAGCCACAGAACTGAAAAGCTGTTGGGGACAATCAAAAATTTCTATTAGCCTCCAGAGACCTTTGTGCCCATCCTGCCCAGGGTAGCGCTGTTTTGGAAAGTATAACACTAACTGAAAAAGGTGCCCAAGCCTGGAGCTGAGCACTTAAAACTGACGAAACATGTAACAGAATTTCCTATTAAAAGGCCACTGTCTATTCTAGGCAAGTCTAGACTGGGATTCGTTATACAGCACAAGGCTGTCGGATCACTTCATTGACTATGCTGATGCTGCCAGCAGTCAGTTTCAAATCATTCAGTACAGAAGCAATAAAATTTCTCCAATAATATGCCAGTACATGACATTTTAGTCCAGCTTCAGTTGGTACTTAGGGAACCTAACGAGAAAACCCACCTGTCCATCTACTCTTAAAAAACTGGTTTACCACATATTGTGTGCTACAGTGTCTGTTACATATTCAAACAGTGGTAAGGGCCTACCATCACTGGTATATCGTGTATACCGCAAAAGCAGTTCAGACTCGCTCTTTGATTGGCTTGCAGAGGGCTTTCTGTCCCCAGAGGTGGGGATTCCACCATACTGCAGAGTGTAGGTCCCAAGTCTGATCAACCCTCATCTACCACATTTATGCTTTTTTTTTTGCTACCACAGGAAGACACTATGAAATTGAGAATAACTAGAATACCTTATTTTCTTCATCATTTAAGTTTTATTACAGTAAGTATGGACAGCTGTGCTGGCCACCCACGGCAACTCCATCTGACCCGGGACTTGCATCCTACCACCTTTTTCTTAGAGGGCCCTGGACTCATCTTCACTCTACCATGTAACAAGACATGCATCCATAACTTTGGCAAAAACACAGTGTCCAGTACCACATCACCAACTGAACAACATCTGTACCACTCTTCAGGTAAAAAAGACAGTTTGGTCACCAGACTAAAGTAATTTACTGTCATAGACAAACAAACTCTATTTTAGGGGTGCATTTCATGCTATTTGATAGGTCCTATGACAGTGACTAAGCCTGTAATTGCAAATGCAGCTATATACACCATTGTCAAATTTTGCACTTCTGTTACAAATGTTGTCCTCCGAGATGTAAAAAACAATTTTCTTTTATTTGAAGAACTGTGTCCATAATCAATTAAACAATAAAAACATTACTACCTGCTGGTGCTTGTTGCTTCAGTCAGTCAACAGTAGCGACGATTTGTAACCAGCATTAAAAGCTATCTCTGAAACCTGTTCTAAACTAGGGCTATTAGGTATTAATTGCTTAGTTTCTAAGTTATCCTTTTAAGACATTTTCTTGTCTCCCTCCTCCTTCTCCCATCCCTCTTGGATGCTCCAGTACCCTCCCTCTGGCATGGGGAGGGCTCCCAACTCCCCCCAGCACGCTGACAGGGGCAGAAACTTCTAGAAGCCAGCAACGAGTGGGGCAGGGCGGAAGCCGGCGGAGGGCTGGTTAAAACACCCCGGCAGCTCGACGGCGGGCCCCG